GGACGAGGCAAATGCCGAGCAGCAACAGCCTCTACGAGGAATGGTTCCCGAACACCCCAGGGAAGATATCCCTGTCACGCAAGGGCAGTACTCACAGGGCGCTTAGGGAAGGAAGCCCAGAAGAGCATGCAGCCCTAGGAAACTGAGGCCAGAGAAGCGCCTGTCCCGGATGACATTAGCTAACGAACTGGTGCTAGGCAGACAGCGCGGTGAGGTCCGGGGCCCTCCCCTCTTGGGGAGGGGTGGACGGCGCAGACAAGCGGCACGGCAGTAAAGTGTGACGTTTGCTTGTTTACTTGTTTCCTTGGGATTGTAGGGAGTTTCAACCTCTCTGTTCGGTTTTTTGTTTTAATTTCTTATGTGGAGTTTGTTTTGTTATGCCTACCTTTCTGGGTGCCTAACCCCGGTCGATGGCAGATAAGGAAAACCCCAACCACAAAGGGGTTTTCCAGGGCCATTGCTCCCTGAAACCTCTTTGAAGGGGGCCAGGTTCTGGCTCATGGTCCCTGGTAGGTCTGAACTCCATAGCTAATATCCTGGTCTAATATAACATTCATTAGCACGATAAGCTCCAGGAACCCATAGGGGCTTCCCACAAAAAATGACAATTTAAATTCAATCTGAATGATAATAGAAAGAATATGGCAAAATGCCAACTTTGAATGTAATGAAATACCTCTTTCTGGTAGGTCCTTGGTACTGCTACCAAGCAAGCTCCACCAATTCAATCCACACCTACGGGTCCACAGGGCAAACGTTGGCCCCCCCCCTCTAAAGAGGTGCAATGGGCAGGGTAATATATCACCCTAACCAAGAAAATGCCACCAGAAAGGGGAATGAAATAAGACAGAGCAAAGTAAACACACCATAGAAAACAAGACGAATCACCCGGCTACGAAGCAGTTCTCTTATTAGTTCTGCCGGCTCACCACCACCACTACCTAAGGCCATGTCATAGTGGTCTACTAATTATGAGAGGTAGGAGCATCCTGTTCTGAGCCCATGTTGCCCAGGGTTATGTAAAGACTGATTCCATATGTTTTATGATCTTTCTTATAAGCACCCTTTCAAAATTGTTTTGATGTACGATGTTAGAGCTGTATATAATTTTTTGCATCAACTTTGCTACTTTCTGTGTGAAGTGGTCCAATCTCTGCTGTTTTAGTTATGTCAGGGATAATGCCAGCATCTAGGCTCCATCTCCAAAAGATGTTTAGAGCCTGTGGTAGTGGGTTTTTGCAATTCTAGATGAATATAGAATTCCAGGAGTCTGGGCCTGGTGTAGAGTGCATGGGTATGCTGTCTATGGCCACTTCAAAGTCAAGTGGGGTTAGGATGACATCTGGTATGTAGTTCAATGATGGTGTCACATTCATAAAGAATTGATTTGGATCATTGATCTGCACTGTGTTCAGGGGTTCACAGAAAACAGAATTGTATTGTAGCCTTAGTATTTGACTCATTTCTTTGCTATCATCTGTGAAGGTTCCATCACTCTTGCACAAGGGCCCAAGGCTGGATGTAATTTTTGTTCTAGATTTTGCATAGGAGAAAAAGTAATTTGCATTTCTCTCTATTTCACTTATGGCCTTTTGCTCTCTGCCTCTTCTAAATTGTATATGATTGTTGCAACCTTGGCACATTTGTTTTTATTTCTCTACATAGCCTTCTTTCTCATTCCTGGGATAGAGTTGGGCATTTGATTTGATCTGTAATATGTTTTTGTTGCCTATAGAGGGAATGCCACTCTCATTCCAGTCTGCATCTTTTTCTCTTTCTCTTTCTCCTTAGTGGTATGTGATCTGCACATATTTCTAGTGCTAGTGTGCCTATTTTCTCCAGGCACTGGTTTAAGTTTGCATCTAGCTGTCTTTCCTAGTATATTTCTCTGAGGGCTTGGTTTATTTGTTTCCAGTTAATCCATTTGTTATTGAAATTGAATTTGCTGAATTCTTCTTCTCTTGGATAAATTCCAGGAGCTCTTACGAGACCTTCAACTCTGCCTGGGAAGAAAATAATGTTTTTTCACAAGAAAAGGATGTTTCAGCCAAAGTAGTCCCCTTTTGAGTCTGCATAACCATTTTAGGGGCCGCAACATGTGGCGCAGTCTATGGAAGCCAACCACCACAACAAGTGGAGTTGGCTGGAAAGCTAGATGCTGCAAAGATCCAACAAGGTTCAAGCATACAAAGTGAGAAATCAACAGGCAGTTTTTGACCCTCAGGACATGATTCACAATCACAGCATTGAGGATTGAGTTACAAAATGCCTTCCCTCCAATGAAAAACCCTCACCAGTTAACACCAGGCACTAAAGGCACCAGCACTTAATTACACAAGCCCACAGCTGAATAGTAACAGACACGTGAGAAACAGGCATCAGGAAGATCGACAACTACATCTGACACTGGTCACTTACGATGGTAATAAAACCCTGCACTTAACTTAAAGATTGTGAGAGGAAGAATGATTGAGCTTTGGGAGGAAGGGAGGGGGGCCGAGTACTTACCTATCAGTGACTACGGGAAAGTGTGGTCTAGCTTTTCATGCCCCACCTACTAGTACCCGTTGTTGTACCCGTTGCATTAAAGCTTCACTATTCAAACAATATCCTTGTCAAACCTTTCCATAAAGTTGTGAGTGGGGGTGGCTTCCACAACTACTTAGTGCATTCAACTTGTTGACCACCCGTACAGGGTTTGAGTATTTCCTTACATTTCTGACTGATTTGTGGTTCCAACTTCCAATTGTGTCCTCTTATCTTACCTTCTCTCAACTTAAAGAAGATGTCCTTGTCCAACTTGTCTATTTCCCTTAGTATCTTGTATATTGTTATCATATCCCCTCTATTTCTCCTGTCTTCCAAAGTTGTGAGATCCAGTCCCTTCACTTTATCCTCAAAACTTAACTTTCCAAGTTCTGGCACTAATCTAGTAGCAAGCATCTGCACTTTTTTAAATTTTAATTTTGTTTTACAAGGTATGGATTCCAAGCAGGTGCTGCATATTCCAGTACTGGTCTAACAAATGTTGTGTAGATTGCTTTGAATGTGTCCTGATTTACATTTGTAAATGACATTTTAATGTTTGCCAGCGTCCCATATGCTGTCGATGTCGGAATTATGTCCACTCCCAAATCTCTCTCTCTCAGATTCCTGTAATTGCCTTTCATTGATGAAGTAGACACCTTCTGGTCTTCTTTCTTCCTTTCCCATCTTCATTACTTTACACTTATTAGGACAGCACCCAGAAGTGCTATGTCCAGGGAATTTGCACAACGCAGAATCGGTTGCATGACCAGGAGGAGTTGCCACATTACTAAAACCAACAGCCCCAGACAGAAACAGAAATCATTACACCCTCAAGCAAATCCTAAAAGGGTAAAACTACAAAATATCATAAACACACACACACACACACACACACAAAATGTAATTTGTAAATGTCCTAAGCATCTGTAATAAAGCCCAGTGACCAGACACAGTCACTGCACAACCAAAAGATGGTACAACTTGAGAGGAGCCAAACAATGCTAGACAATACTGAAACAGGCAAATTGGGCCGAAATAGTCAGAGGCTCGCAAACGATTATTATACATGCTGTGACAACAGTTTCCAGCAAACACAATTCAGACAAATTATCTTGTCGATCACCATAGAACCCAGGTTAGTGATGGCCGAGCACTGGGTACAAAGTGAAGGTTGCCAACTTTGTTGACACAGTTGTGGTGATGGATGTTGTCACCTGGAGGAAGATGGGATACCTTGATTCTAAACTGGTGGTTAGTAGTGATTATTCAAGTTGCTTGTGTTCCTAATTATTGTTTGCAGGGAAGTGTTGAGAGTACAGTATTACCGCCTTGTTTGTATTAGAGTGAGTTGGTACCCCAATGGTGGCTTGAATTAGACTAGCTATGTTCTCCTTTCCCTAAATAGGTAAATGAGAGTGACAAGTAATTATGACTTGTGAGGACAATATTGGCTCCGGCTCAAGAACCATCCAAAGGGACCTTGCTATATAAAAGATATTTTTACAAACTTATTTCTATTCTATATTTCCTTATTATAGTATTTTTAATTCTACTTTCTGTACAAACTCTTGAAATTATTGAAAATCTACAATCATTTGTACAAGAAAATTTAGTGACTTGCCTCTTGTTGTGGATCTGATGTCAAATATTTACTGTTCCAAGGTTACATGTTACTTGTACTTGTAAATTATACAGGAAGTTCCTGCTTTACGAACATTTGCCTTATGAACTTTCATCCATATGAACATTCTCCCAGGTCCCTATGTACCTGCTTCATGCATAAAATCATTGTACTAACTCGCTGTGTCCCTTTGAATAGTACTGTATGGGGGTGGGGGGGTAGATTGAGAGGTTCATTGGGGTGTGGGGGTGCATGGGGGTGTAGGTTTGTATGGGTTTGGGTGTGTAAGAGACACACTCCTCATACCCGGTGGCCTCAAGTTCTCAATGACCCACACTCACATGATTTGGTCCTGTTTACTCTGTTGGAGGGGTGGGCCCGTGGGCTGGAGGTAGGAGGGTGGGGAGGCCAATTACAAAATAGTGGACCACCAATACAGTGCAAATGTATTTTCATTTATTTATTTGTAATTATACCACTTCACTCTTCAAAAACAGCTAACTTTGACAAGCACTATAACTCCATAATTCAAAATATATAATGATATGATTTTTTTATAGAATTTTTTCCAAAAATATTGGCTTTGTGAGGATTTTTGGTGGCCTGGGAAAGCATCTCCCACTAATAGCATTGCACCTATGGAAAATCTTGATTCACATTCTGAACAAATGCTTTACAGTCTCAAAGTGTAACTTGTTCGTAATTGGGGGAACTGCCTGTATTTTTAAACATTTAATTAAAGCTTCATCTGACTAGACTGTATACAACTGTTTTTACATATAAAAGATAGTATTTGGTAGTCAAATTTTTCCCAGGAGAATATCCCGTTGAAGAAAAACTAATGACTTACTACTTGATGAAGCTGCTGGCAATAACCGACGTTCAATGTCCCATGAAGAACACGTGCAGACATCCACAACTGCATATTTAGAATATAGGCTTCTTATCACCAACCCACATTTTGTTACCTGTTAAATGTAATACATCATCATCAATTTTCATAAGAGAAAAATTAAAGCTTCATACAAAATAAACATGTACAATGGGCAACTAAACTACAATGGGCCCTCCAAACTCTGAATCATTTCATCTGGACCCAAGTAGATTTTGCCAATAATCCAGACTTCCCAATAACTGAAATTGTTTGGTCTAGATATCAACAGTTTATAGCAATGATTCATGTCAAACTAAAAATCAAAATCCAACCGTAGAATTTAGTTTGCTTTGCATTAACTCTGTTAATGCCTCAGGGAAATCATTTAGTAATTTATCCCACAAATATTTTACAATGCATACCATTCAGACCATATTTTTTCACATGCTCTACGGGTGAATAAAGGGCTATAGACTCGTATAGCCCAGGTGAATGGAATCTCTATGGGTGAATTTGACTGAAAAAACCAGCGTTGAATGTATTGAAACGCCATTTTCTGGGTGAGTCCCGGAGGCTCCCCGGAGCTATCCCAGGCTGATATGCTAATGTCAGACTTTGGCATCAGTCATGTGTATGGAGTTCTTAGGCCTACCGGGGACCACGGCCAGAACCGGGCCCCCTCAGAGAGGCAAGGGGAGCAATGGCCTATAGAAGCCCCCGTGTAGTTGGAAGCATTCTATGTCTGCCATCGACCGGAACAGGCACCCAGAAAGGTAAGCGCCCCAAAACAAACCCCTATTCTGGTTAAAATTGCTACCAAAAACCGAACTAGTGGATAGAACTCCCCAACCGAAAACAAGCAAACTAGTGTGACGTCACACACTGCCGCGCCGCTGTCTGCGCAGCTCCCCCCTCCCCGGGAGGGGGAAGGGGGAGCCCCAGACCCCCCGCGCCGGCTACCCACACCTCAGTTCTTGAGGCTGGATGTCAAAAACGCGAAAAACCGCCTACCGGAGGGAGGGAGGGAGGGATGCCGGGGAGCCTCCGGGACTCACCCAGAAAACGGCGTTTCATTACATTCAACGCTGGTTTTCTGGGGGGAGCCCCGTCGGCTCCCCGGAGCTAACTACCCACAGACAGAAAAAGAGGGACTTACCCGGGAGGCGGTCTTCGCTCACCCCTCAACTCGAAGCCGAGACAACTGGCTGCAACCGCCGACCCAAAGCAACACAGGCCCGACAAGGCCCAGGGACATTCACAAGGTAACGAGCAGCCAGGACCCTGTTCGACCGCCAAAATCCCCGCGCCCGAATATCAGACCAAGACATATTCCCAAAGACGGCAGCAAGAGCTGCGAACTTACGAACGTCATGGGCACGGGGATAGACCGCAGGCTGGCTGGACCTAATAACCCTGCGGACGACCTGAGAGACCCGAACCCGCGAACAGGGAAGAAGGGAAACCGGATCAACCCACAGCGCGTCCCCGGACAGAAGCTGTGGCGCGCAAATAACGGCGAAGCGCCGCAACCGGACACAAAACATGATGCACCCCCGGCCTGACCAACCAAGCATCAACCACCCATGGACCCCTCCGGAACGCAGCAGTCTCATTCTTCGCCAGAAAAGAAGGAGACGGCTGCAAGCGAACAAAACTAACACCACGACCAAAAGAGCAGAAACCCCTGCGCCGGAGGAGAGCATGAAGCTCCCCTACCCGACCCCCAGAGGCCAAAGCCAATAAGAAAAGTGCCTTGGAAAAACAATCCTGGACCGAAGGGGCCACAACGAAACGAGGAGATGAAAGGAAAGCGAGCACTCTGTCCAAAGACCAGGACGGCTCAGGCGACGCATGAGCAGGCCGGAGGTGAAACAATGCACGAGACAGCTTGCGAAACGGCGCAGACGTAACATCGATACCGAAAGCAAGCTGAAGCGGCTCCGCCAGCGCCGCACGATACGAAGCGACAGTGTTAGGCATAAGATGACGGTCCTGAAACAACCACGAGAGGAAGGACAAGACCACCCGAACAGACAAGGAGCTAACACGACGAAGACGCAAAAAGAAACGGAAGGACCGCCAGGAAACTTCATGCTGCCGCCGAGAAGAAGCCCTCAGGTGGGACACCAACAAGGAGGCCACCTGATCACCATAGAGATGATAGACTCGAGTCAAAAAAACCATACGCGAAGACTCGAGGAGAAGATCGAACCAGCTACGTGACGTACCGGTCCGATCTGCTGAAAGAGGCGGAGCCGCGGGAAAACCCTCGGGTTCGGACACCGAGCAACCAGCGCCTGAAACCAAGGCTGGGCCGGCCACCAAGGGGCCAGAAGGACAACTCTCCCCCGGTAAGTCTCTAAGCGAGTCAGGACCTGGAGCAACAGCCGAACCGGGGGAAAGAGGTACAGGAACCCCCACCTCGACCAGTCTAGCCGAAAGGCATCGACCCCGACGGCCTCGCAATCGGGGAAGGGCGCCGCATAAACGGGAAGACGCCGCGACCACGCCGACGCGAAGAGGTCCACTTCGGGGCGCCCGAACGTCTGGCAAAGCCAACGGAAGGACTCGTCGTCGACCGTCCACTCCGTGGAGAGGGGAACGAAGCGAGACAGGGCGTCGGCCAAGACGTTGGACACGCCCCGTACGTGAACCGCCAGGAGAGCCAAACCCCGAGAACTCAGCAGACGAGTCACCCGAAGCGACCAACCCCAAAGAGACAAGGACCGCATCGAACCCCCGCGGTGCAGGCAATGAACCACCGGAGAGCAGTCCGAATAGAGCCGAATCGTCGATCCGCGGGCCACCCGAATCCTCCCCAGAGCAAACCACACTGCCGCGAACTCCCGCACCGTACTGTGAGCTCGACGGAAGGACGGATCCCAACGCCCCTGGCCGGCCTGGTGAGCACTGGTCACAAAACCCCAGCCGAGAGACGACGCATCCGTGTACACATCGAGCGAGGGCTCGGGTAGGCGCCAAGGCACTGAACCCCGAAAAACCCGAAGAGGAAGCCGGTGACGCAGCAACCGACGCAAGGCCCCCAGGGGTCGAACTCTGCGATCGCGAGAGAGGCGGAAGGGGGAACCCCGAAGGAACCAGAACAGCCGTCGAAGCCAAACCCGACCCGGCGGGTAGACCACCATCGCGAAGTTCAGGCTCCCGCACAGCCCCTCGAGCAACCGCCGGGTGACCCGAGGGCCCTCCAGAAACAGACGAAGGTGGGACCGCAGCCGCAGGAGAGACTCCAGAGGGAGAGACAAGGAGGCGGTTCGAGAGTCCCACACGAGACCCAGCCAAGTCCGAACCTGAGAGGGAACCAGATGGGACTTCCTCCAGTTCACCAAGAACCCGAACTCGGCGAGCTGGGAAAGAACCAAAACCCTGGCTAGCAAGCAAGCTGACTGGCTGGCTGGGAGCCCAAACCAGCCAGTCGTCGAGGTAGGCCAACACCCGAACACCTAGGAGACGCAAACGAGCCACCACAACCCGTGTAAGGCGCGTGAACACGCGAGGTGCCAGGTTCAACCCGAACGGGAGACAACGAAAGCGGTAACTCAGACGCCCCACAACAAAACCGAGCCAGTCCCTGAACCGCGGATGAATCGGGACATGCCAATAAGCGTCCCGGAGGTCCAGGGACACCATCCAAGCTCCCGGCTCCAAGAGGAGCCGAACCTGAGACAGCGTAGTCATCCGAAAGGAGGGGCAATGAACCCAGGGGTTCAGACGGGACAAGTCCAGAATGAACCGCAGGTCCGCGCAGTCCCGGTTCGGAACCGGAAACAGACGGGAAACCCATCTGAGGGACGACGTCGTTTCGACGACGCCCAAGCGTACCCACTCCAAGACGACTCGACAGAGCGCAGGGGAAGAAACCTGCCCTGCCAGCCCCGACCCCCCAAAGGGGGGAGGGGCCACCCAACGCCACCGCAGGCCGCGAGACACGACCCGAAAGGCCCACGAATCGTGGGACCAGGCGCGGGCGAACAGCGCAAGCCGCCCCCCCATCGCCCCGTCAAGGGGGCAAACCGCGAAAGGGTCGGCGACCCTTACGAGACCCAGAACCCCGCACAGCGCGAACACCGCGCCGACCAGACGAGGGAGGGTCCGCAGGAGGAGCCAACCCCAAATCTGACACCAGAGGCCTACCACGACGAGAGGAACCCCGAGCCCTGGCACGACCTTTCCGGGAAGACCCACCCCGGGACCCCCGGAAAACCAACAAGTCCGACATCGGACGACAAGCCGCCGACACAGCCTGAATAAACTGCGCCACGGCCGACTCCCCAAACAGGAGAGGACAAAAAGGTGAAGAACGCCTAAGAGCCAGAGCCCAAGCAGATTCCACGGAGGAACCCAGCACCGCCTGCCGACACGCGAGACGGGAAGCATAGAACAGGGAAACCGCATCCCGCAAAATCGGCGTGAACAGCTTCAACAAGGCAGCCGACGAACGCGCAGCCGAGGACAAGGTGCCGGACCCCGGGACGGACCCAAGCGTCCCCACATCCTCCACGAGCCAATCCGAAGACAGCTCCAGGAGGGAAAAGAACCGCAAGGCCGAACACAAAAGGCCCCGGGCGCGCAAGTCCTCCGCCACGAGCGCCGCCGAAAGGGAGGGAACCTGCACATGGAGCTGAATAACGCCCACATCGCGGGGAAGGGCAGGGGCAAACAAGCACTCATTCAGGTACTCAAGTTCACCCCCAGGAAAACCTGAAGCACTGGGGAAGCTTCCTGCCACTCCAGCGTGTGGGAACGACAGAAGGAATGCCAGGAATCCAGACCAAACAAGGGGCAGTCTGCTAGCCAGGACGACTCCGGAACCTCGTAACGGAGCCAGAAAGGGAACGAAGTCCCAAACCTGAACGCGGACGGATCCATTTCCGAGGCATAATCCGGGTCACGCAGGAGGTAAGCTGCAAAGGCCGCTCGCACCACACCAGGTTGGATGCGATAAGCCGAAAACCTCCTGAAGGACGGAACCGACGTACCCGGGGGAACACGGAACCGAACCTGGGGAGGGGCCGACACCAAATCCAACTCGTACGCAGAGGGGGGAAAAGAAAATCCAACTCGTACGCAGAGGGG